GGCTTATTCTCCTGGTGTTCGTCTTAACAGGAATCAGCTGTTTGCCTTCTCACTTATACAGCATGTGGCCGGGGAGAAGTTAGCATCTGGTCTGGCTATTATTAAAAACAAGAACATCCTGCTCTGTTGGGAGAACAGCACCGCTGGCAATCCAAGGACAGAGATCATTTGCATTCTGGATTCCGGAGATGTGTTTCGCTTCGGTCTCTGCTCTCCCTCCTCCACCTCTGTTTCATTTGAAAATTTCCCGATGTGTCCATCACTTGGTCCCCTTTTTCTGAAACCGACAGGGAGAGACAGACACACTTTTTCCTTTCACTGGGAGGCAGGAATCACTGGAGTTGTTCAAGCCAGATCTGTTCCTGCAGTGTGATAAAGTTGAACTACCAGAGGAATTTTTTTTACAACTGCGGAAATGAAAAAGTAAACAAGACTGGGACTGCATTGGTATTTAGGCTCCAGCTTTTTGTTGTTGTTTTTGTCTTTTTCTTTTTTTAAGCATTGGGCTAGGAGCCTAGAGGAACCATATAATATGAAAAACCTTAAGAGGTTTTATTAGCTAATAAAAAAAAAAAGAACTCAGTTCCTATTCACCACTTAACTCTTTTGCTGGAGTCTGGCGCTTGCTTCCTCTCTGGGTGTGTCACTCCTCTCATGCCCACCAATCTCTTCCCCCACACAACCAGGGTTCTCAGTGTGCCTTCTAGAAGGTGTGGCTGAAAATTACATTCAATAATAATCTCTGCGTTTCTCATCTGTGAACTCACCAATAAAATTTCCATAGAAAGTCAGGTTTTTTTTTCTCCATAAAGTCCATAGCCTCTTTATGTACTCTGCTAAAAAAGCAGTAAGGTCATTGTGATTTTCATGATTTTAAATATTATGTGACTTTGAGAAAACAGAATCCAGTTAAGGCACTCCTGGGACATGTAGTGATCCTACAGAGAGCTCCTCTCATTTTGGGGCAGAAGAATGAGGAGAAACAGAAAGTGAAACTGCTCAAAGAGGTTTCATGGCCAGAGGGGGGGATGGAATTATAGAAAAAAGAAAAAAAAGAGAAAAAACAAAAGCATGATTTAGGAAGGAAAAGATGTCAAAAGAGACCTGAAGTATAAGGCCATTTTATTAATACTCCCACTATTACATGTCACATGGCTTTGCTATCTGCTTTTTGTTTTTAAATAATAACTGCATGGTGACATCAACCCACCACACCCAATTGTGTTTTGGGGGTTCTTGGTATCCCCATCTCTCAAAAACACCCTTAAGCTCTGACAGTATACTACAGGTCGAATTCCACCAAGCCTACCTCCATGCCACTTGTGTTTGCACATCCTGGCTAATTGCAGCAGTCCCGGTCTCTAGGAGAAACTTCTCTGACCTCAGCAGCACACAGCCACGAGACATGGTTGCATTTTTATGTTCTGGCACCACTTAATGTTGCTACTAGAAGAACCACTCCTTGAAGGCCTTGTGTGGAAGAATTTGGTTTGGAGGTTTGGGTTTGGGTTTTTTTTTTTCTCCCCAGTATACTGCTATATATTCTCGCCTTATTATGAGAATGGCAGGTGGGGGAAATTCTCTCTGTGTCAGTCAGCTGTGAAGCGGGACAGAATGATGTGAAGAACAGATAGCCATCAAGAAGTGCACTATGGTTGCAACGGGAAAACATAAAGCAACTGTTTTAAAAATCTCTCTAAGTGGCTCCACACCACTGCAACAGGATAATAGGAGAATGCATTAGAATAAGTTTTAGTAAAAGCTAAGTGCGTTTCCACAAATTTGATCTCTCTGCCTTCCAACTGGCTGCACCTAAAGCAGGGCTTGCTGGAGTCGCAAGCTTAGGAACAGAAGCTTTAGAAAAATCAATAACCTCTTCTTAAATGGCAGCTTCACCTTGCTGTCTTAGTCGTCCTCTCAAGGAGCAGCCAGTGTCCCCTGACACTGCAGGAATAAGGAACTGAGGCAGGGATGCTGTGCCAGGAGCACTAGTGTTGGGACCATGGGTTTCATCTTTTCCTGAATGAATGCTCAGCCGTCCCCTCCCACCCCTCTTCTATCCTCCCACCCCCTCCTCCACTGCAACTCCCTTCAAGTGTGCCTGAGTACATACACACACACAAGCAAGACCACCTGCCCATGTGCGCGCACACACACACACCCACACACACCCTTGCATCTTCAGTGGGTCCTTTTCTTTGTTAAGTTTTGATTCTTAGCTTTTCTAAAGTTCATTTCCAAAGCCTTCTGATTTATTAGCTACTACTGAGAAAGCCCTGGGAAGTCACCAAGAGGTTTATCAGGGTGCCTAGGAATGGTGGTGACGAGGGGAGCGATTCTTTGGCCTTTGCTCAGAGCCTGTAATTTCAATACAGAGTACTAGCTCTCCATGCCTTGGATCTTACCTGACCTTTTTAAGCACCTTCTCCAGGTGCAAAGAGCAAGTCAAAGAAGGAGGAGGAGGTGGGTGGAGAGCAATTTGGAATATAGCCAGAGTGTACAGCCCTGGCATGTACACCGAGTGTCTTATCACCTGCACATTCATGGCATGGTTGAGAAAGCTTAGCCCCTTAGGAACTGACTACAGGATCAAACGTATGAGCTTGCCCAGGATTTTAAAGGTGAGCTGGCCCATACTCTCCCATACAGTGCAGTCAGAAGAGTAGTCCCCCGCTTCCCTGGAAAACCTGAAGAGACTGTGACAGTGTCATCATAAGCCCCGTCCGTACCTTTTTAGATGCCCCAAACTGTTGTTTCCTAGAACCAATATTTAAGATGATTTTCAAAAAGTTGTAACAGAAAGCTTTTTGTTAATCCGATCCTCTCTGTGGGGGTGTTTGATTCCATGAAACAAACTCCATTTTCTGCCACAGCTCTTGGCTATGTCACTATTGTTCACTCCTTTTCAGAGGGAAGGAAAAAGCAACTCTCGAAGATCTGCAGGACCTGCTCTCACTGACTGTGAATGAGGGCTTCCCCTACATCCTTCCTTGCCTTTCAGACTGTTTTCAAATCTCATAAATATAAACATGTGGCTCTTCAACCACATCTGTAGATAATAACTTCAGGGGGCTTCCTGTTTACATGGCAATACCCATTTCCCAGCCAAATAAACTCTGCAACAGAGAGCTGAGGTGTTTATTGGGCCAGTCTCGGCTGGGATTGAGTTAACAGGAAACACCCACTCTCGCAGAAATGTCTGATTATTAAATATTTGGGGGACGGGGGATCCAAGGGGTCACAACCACTGGAGAAATTGCTTTCTTCTTCCTCCTGGCGTTTCCGTGAGAAACAGAGGAGCCCGGGCCCAACACAGCCACACAGCTGTGGGGCTCACAGGCTGCGGAGCCTGTGATGCGGAGGGCAAGGCAAAAGAGGCACAGATCAGAAAGCCAGCAGAATCCTTCACAGTAACTCACGCAAAGGCAGAGGTACAGCCTTCAGTGGGCAGCCCTTTGGCATTCTGCCTGGCGGGCTGCCCTGTTTTAACGAGCAGTGTACTTCCGAGTCAGCTCTGCTAGTAGCACCTGACCTAAAGAATTCAGAGACAGCCTCAAGTCCCCTGGTTCACCATCAGTGGTCAATCTTGCTTTGCTCTCCCACACGCACACGCCCAGGGGACATTTGGCAATGTCTGGAGACATGTTTAGTTGTAAGGTCTGAGGAGATGCTGCCAACATCTAGTGGGTAGAGGCCATGGGTGATGCTAAACATCTTACAGTGCACAGGGCAGCGCCTTCGCCACACACAACCGTGAGCCATCTAGTCTGATATGCCAAGAGTGCCAAGGTCTAAAGAAGCCCCTAGCTCCTCCTGGCTTCAGCCTGGCCCAGCCAAAGTAAACCAGCTAATGGAAGCTCTCTCTCTCTCTCTCTCTCTCTTTCAAATAAATAAATAAATCTTTAAAATAATAACAACAACAAAAAGAGTGCCAATGTCTAGCCCAACACTTTTTCATGAACCAAGAATCTAAGGCTCAGAGGAGTAAAGTGGTTGGCCCCAAACTATGCTTCTGGACAAAGATGGAAAGGGAAAGAAAACCATTGTGCCCACCTCCCTTGTGGATGCTTTTGTCACCCAGATGCTTAATTTTAATAAATAAACATACATCTTCAAAGAAGCTGCAAACGAGTTCCCTGTCCTAAGCCCACCCAAGTACTTGCACTGTTCCTATTCTTGGGAGTCGGCTGTTCCCAAGATTTCTCAGACAGCAGTGCTGGGGGTTGAGACAGAGCACATGCTCTGAGGGAGGCCCCCTAACTCGCAGCATGATGTGGGCCCCTTGGCCAGGGACGGAGCTGCTCTGCACCACGGGTTCCTGGGTCCCTCTTTCAGAACTGCAATAAAGCCAAAGTACACCACCAGCACAGGAAGTCAAGACGGTGACCGCGGTACCCTAGGCCCTCAACCTTACTGCAAGGGGAGGGGCTTACTGAGAATAAATGATGGCTGAGGAAAACCCATTTCCAAACCACAGCTGCATTCACTGGCAGGATTGTTCTGATGCTAAGGCGATCCAGGGCAAGCGTCATTTTTACTCATCTTTGGGCTTTGGTTGACTTTATTTTTAAGAATCCAAAAGATATGTAGGAGGGAAGTAGCCTGCCTGCTAGGTCAGGGCTGTCTGAGACCTGCTGTCTACAGACAGGGGTTCCTCTGCTGGGCCCTGTTCATGTTCCCAGAGATCAGAATCACAAAACCATCAAGGCTGCCGTTTATATCCCCTGCCTGGTCCCTGAGTTGGAACAAAGTGCTTTACCCACGGATGGGGTGAGCATTGTTCCCTTGTCAGATTCCTCACCCTCCCCTCTCTAGAAGTGGAACAAAGCAAGAAGACACAGCGCTTACCAAGACTGTTTTCCCTCTCACCACTGAAAATAGGATCTCTGCTCTTACCCAGCCCTGGCAAGTCCTAAGACCAGTAAGTACCCAGGTGTAGGCAGGAGTAGGTGTCGACTAGAAAAGAAACCGCGGATGAGAAAAGACCCAAGGTACACACATAACAAAACAAAAAAAGCCATTTTATTGAAAATTAAATTCAAACTTCAAATTAATATTACAATCATGAGAAAAATGCCAAATAATTCAATTTACAGTTGCAACATACAATACAAATAGTCCCTTTGAAGTTAAGGGTAAACTCATCCACAATCATGTCCTGTGGCACAAAGCAGAATTTGTACAATATGTGCATGGAAAGCAAATCTTGGGCAATAGCAATTGGAAAAAAATAAAAATGAAAGCTTGTATTTACACAAAATGCTACAAATATTTTTGTTCCACAGAAATCTAAGAATGGTAAAGCATATCCAAAAACTGGAATTTTATTCAAAATACCTAAGAAATTACTGTAAGTTATGGTTTTGGCTGATATATTTCAAAGTACTGCATTAAAAAGCAAACAATTATTTGTAAACATGAAGTAAACAAACACCTAAAAATTCTCACATAGAAAATATTTTTTTTAAAATGCATTATCTTTTTAAGAACAACAAATTCAAGGTTTGGAAGAGTCATCTTTTATTTTATTATTGTTCCTTCAATACCATGGTGTAATTATCACCTCTGCTAATGCTTTGTATTCCCATGTTTTAACCCAGATTCTGGGTCAGTCCCTTTCCTTAATATGGAGGGGACCCTTGAAGCCAGTACACATCTCTTCCCTTGTGAATTTACAATGGAGGGTCCCTAACAGTATGGATTTCTCTGCTCATTTATAAAAGAGGCCCTTAAGGTGGGTGGGGCATGACAGTCTAAAGAGCAAAGGAGATTTAATCCGTTGAGTCTCTCAGTTCTAGACTGGATATCTTTCTACTAATCTACAGCTTAAAGTTGTGGTACCTGTTCTGGAAACTGACATAGGTTAAAATTTGTGAGCAACTGAAATGGATTAAAAAAAAAAAGACTGCATTGGTCACGCTGTAAGTTCCAGCAACATCTGTGCTACCTAACAAACCACACTAACCCCAAGGAAAGAGAGTGTTGACTAGTACATGGTTCCACAGTAGGACTAAGATTTTGCTTTGGTCTTGAAATTACAAATCTTATACATGACACCAAGTGCAAACTAGGGTTCAGGGAAAAGAAAAGATTGTTTAACCCCTAGGCAAAAAAAGGACAGAATTTGTTCTAAGAAATGTCAATTGCCCATTGGAGTGGTGAGTGAGGGTGCAGGAAAGAAGTGCTTGAATTTTTCCCAAGGAAAAAACGTTTAAAGTGTTTTTGGGTTGCTGCCTGCAGCCACTCTAATTTAAACATTTCAACACTAGAGCATCCCTAAAGTCACTCAGTATGTGTACTGTAAACTTAAAAAAGCCCTTTAACATTAAAAAACAATGCACAAGTAGAGTACCTTTCTTATTAAATAGGGTGCAGATGGCACTGGTGGTTATGTCAATTAATTAAACTGGAAATGTGTAACCAGACACTGGCTTTTTTAAGTGCTGCTGAGACAAACACACATATTTCACACTTACATATAAATGGACAGTGGCATGCTTCAAGCTACCACACACAAAAAATAAATAGTATCAATTACTACTTCCATCTTAAGTAATAGAAAAGTGGCTTATTTATCTAAGCATACTTGGTATACATCCTTTAGAAGGCAAAGTATTTGGTTTGGTTTGGTTTGGTTTGGTTTCCCCTCGATTGTTATCGGCAAGAGTCAGGACAAATTCCAAGGGAGACACCCAGGCAGGAAGCACAGGTGCAGCTGCCCCAGAGACTGCCCTGCAATGCCCTACAAAGGTGGGCTTCAGAATGGCTGAGGAACACGGGCGCTGGAGGGGACCTCTGCACGCCCTGCTTAGGTCGACACAGCATGTTCAGGAAGGGACCTGATCTTTGGTGAGGGGCCAGGGACGTGCCTGATGGTGTCATCAAATGACCCTGGCTTGGATGACGGATTCACATTTGGGAATTTGCCATGTGGGCTCCGAGGTGGTCAAAGTGCATCCTACAGGAGGGCTCTCACTCAAATTCATACACAGTAGTAGTAGACACCAAACTCCCCACAGCCTTGCCTTCCCTGGACCCTCCATTGTGAGAAATAGATATCAAAGGCTGGACGTTGTGTCCTCTCAGGTCAGCTACATGCAGGAACTGGGCTGCTGCTATCCAGAGGACCCAATCCCATGGGACAATGGCTTCATTCTGCTCCTTTCAATGCAAATTCTGTGGAAAGCCATGCCCAGTGGGGCAGGCCTTGGGTAAGGCTGATCTGGGTTCCCCTGATCTACTGCTTGGTAAGGCTGGTTGGCTAGGAATCCCTGGTGCAATTCTGCTTTCCTGTACGATGTATATTACGATGGATCCTTTATCCATGTGTGTGGCTCTACACTAGGTCTACACTAGTGTGGGTCTACACTAGGAAGCCTGGCGATTTAGAGTTTTACTTAACTAGGAAACCACAGAACGTTTCTCTGCAGTCAATAATTCAGTTGTGCTTGTGTTTTTTATATGACAAGAGTCATAATTATCCAAAAGAAATTAGGAAACCACATCACTCCAGCATCTCATGCTGATAAAGGGCAATGTGAGTGACAAAGGGCTATGAGTTGCTTTTTAAATCCCTAATTATTGCTTTAAAAGGCAAAAGCTGTGTTAGAGGCAATCGGAGATCTGAAAGAACTAAACATAACATTTCCTTCATACATCACAAAAACAAGCTACATCTAAAATATCTGGAGATGGAAGCATTTTTAAAAATCACATTGTGCCTGGATGAACTGAAATTGCTTAGCAATATTTCAGATATGGCTCTAGCCCACTGAAGAAATTTGTTATTTAATAAAGAGCACTTTTAGAGACCGAAGTCAACATATCAATACACTAAGAAATGTTTCAAGGGTCCAAATGTCATTAAATAATTATAAATATATCTTTAAAGTTATATGACCATTCACGTTAGCAAGTTACCTCAGATTTTTACACATATTCATAATTTAAAAAAAAAGAAAACAAATAACACACAGCCAAACGCAAACACTATCTATACCATTATGGCTATAATAAGGTATTGCCATTTTTAGTTTTGCATAATAGGAGAAGGGGAGTTTTAAGGAATGGGATTTTCTTTTTGGCTAAATGGGAAAAGGGAAAAAAGTATAAAAAAGTAAAATAAAATCTTCTATCCTGATCAGTATTTTTGAAGTCACTTTCTTAGAGAAGGGGAAGAAAAAAAAAAAAACTGAACCAGAGAGTTCAGATGAGTACCTGCACAGGTCTGTGAGTGAGCAGAGCCGAGAGCCAGGACAGCCGCTGCAAACACGCAGTGCTGTGGGGGATACATCCATTCTACCTGTCTCTTCCCTGTGCCTCCCCTGGCTCTGCAGCTGCTCAGAAGAGAGCACCGGCCAAGGCCATGAGGCTTTGAGCACAGGGAGGAAGCAGCTTTGCTCATTTTCCTCCTGCGCCCGGAAGCCACATCTCAGAATCGGCCAAGGAACAGGTTATTTACGATAACAGACCAAAAAAAAAAAAAAAAAAACCACCAACAACAAAATACCTTTTCCCTTGTTTGTTCTTTGCAAAAGTACTTCTTAAATAATAAACGATCTGAAACCCAATTATGATCGTCTCTCTTGGGCCTTCTGTTTCTAGTATCTCTACCCTCTTATGGCTGTCAGATCATGAGTGAGTGAATGAATGAAAACTCTTGTAAAAAAACAGGCACTTTGTAGATAGTTGATATACATATATATGCACTCTCTATATATGTATATATTGATACATGTGGGATGTGGCCCCCAGATACCGCTGGACCACTGTTGGGCCACGGCTGAGGAATTTCAGTATGGTCGCCAGACAGATTCATCCATTCTGCCACTAGAATTCAAAACAGTTGGGGAACTGCTGTGGCTTCCATCAGCGTCAACACCATCATTCTGGTTAGGCAAATTGGGGTTTAATAGCGTGCTGCCATTCGAGGTGGTGCTGCATGGCGGAAGCATTCTGGGAGGAGACCGGTCTCCCCCCGGCACCATGGGGAACTGATAGGATCCTGATGAAGTGCCATAGTAGAGATATGGAGTGCTGCTGGTCTGGAAGGGTCCACTCTGGCTTTGGGAAGAGCCGGGGTAGGGTGGTGGCAGGTAGGTATGGTAGTGGGTGGTGGCGGACATACCGAGGGACATGCCTGAGGTGACTGGCGGGGTGTAAGTAAAGGTGGCTGGATAGTGCATTCGTGGGTTGGAGAAGCGGCTCTCAGTGAGGGATGAAATGCTTGGGAACTGCCTGGGGTCTGAAAAAGGGCCCAGTTCTGAAGCACCTAAAAATTACAACAGAAGATGGGGGGAAAAAATCTGTAAATATCAATTAAAATAATGATAGAATTTTTTACAAGAAAAAGAAAACTTTAGCTTTCCCAAAAAGGAACAGCAAGCCACAAACAGACTTTCAAAGGCACCAGTCACTTGACAGACTTCGTTTTTTCCATGTGACAGTCTTAACGGCATTTATCCTTTCGTGCTTTACCTCCGGAGAATCCCAAAGGGCTTTAAAAACCCAATCGTGTGCTAGGTCCTGTGTGTGAACCAACCCAACACTCACATCATAGGGGCTCACTCACCAGACTTTAAGACCAAATCCTCATTGATTTTTTTTTCTTTTTGCTTCTCGTTGCACTTCAGATATTTGAAGTAAAATTTGTACTAAGTCAGACAAGTTTATTTTTCTCAACCCAATATAAAGAAATTCCAAAATGATCCATTTTTATGATTAGTACTCTTGGCAGGACTCCTTCATCAATGAAGGGACATCAAAAAGGTACCCTAACATGTTCCTATCATTTCCTTTTTAAACACTTAAAAGAGTTTAGAATTGTGTCATCATCTGCATCTTAGTGACAATGAAATCAAACCATAGTCCAATGTACCTTGAAACTATCTTACTTATCCAGGGACTGTAGGGGAAGCCTAGCCATCAGAAATTCTCTGGAGAGTAATCAGCTAAATAAGGAGGGTTTTGGGGAGGATTGCGGGAGGCTCACCACCTTAGGAGTCACTGTATTTCAAGTCTTAATGTCAGATGTAGGCCCTGTTTTAGGCCTGGGAAGGGTTCATTGCCTAGGGACGATTCAGAGGATGGTACCTCCTCAGCCCCTCTTCCCAGTCCTAGGGCCCCTCTACGGCATCAGTTTCAGGTCGGTCTGAAGCAGTGACCTGGAGGCAGACTAGGTCTCCCCTTTCATTGCTGAAGCTCCCAGCATGGCTCCTTAATAGATATGTCTGGTGCCAAACTGATGAAACCACTGTTAGGATCCATTTCATATGAAAGTAAGTTTTCTGAAATGCCTGAAAACTTACAGCTGTGATCATGGATTGATCATAATTTTCTAGAATTGACAGAATTGTGACAAGCCCCTTCATAATACCAGTGCTCTCACTAAGATTTTGGTTCCTTCTAAAAATCTTTACAGGATTTTGATCTCATGGGACTGTATTTTACCATAGCTGTCAGATATAAGGGAACGCATTTAGCCATTCCAGAAGACCTTAGTGATAGGTACTTCTTCAGCCCCATTTCTATTCACCCCTCATCCTTGAATATCCCAGTGTTTCATAAAGGAATAATTCTAATACTTTCCTTTAAAGGTGCTGATTGAGCGTTGTTAATTTTTAATAAAATGCACGCTATTTAATGTCCACCTTAAAATACTAGGGCTAGTGCCATGATATGTATTTTTAATTGAAAGTGACTATTTGAAGGCAACACACAGTTAACAAAATTTTTCTCACAAATCGGATAGTATCAATCAGACAGCCCAGCCCAGCCCAGCCCTGCCCAGCCCAGCAATTGTTAAAAATCTCACCTGCCTGGCTCTTCTTACTGAGAGTGGAAGGCCAGAGGCAGAAGTCAGAAGTGGCAGTGTCATCATCTGTAAAATGAGGGGATGAGCTCTAAGTTCCCTTCCAGCTCTAATGTTCTATGACCATGAATTCCAAGGCAGAAGGAGAAGCAACAGCTTTAGGGGAGCGGTAAGGGGTAGACAGACAGGTTCCCATCCCTCATTAGTACTTTCCCAGGACTCCCAGGCCCATAAGCAGAGGGTAAAAAGTTAGCGAGCAGCTTCTAATACCAGAAGCAAACACTTTGAAGATGACAAACCAAAACTAACACAGACCCAGAAGTGACTCTCTGCTTCTTATAAATTATTCCATCCTCAACCTGCCTCTACCTAATCCCTCCCCAAAATGAAATTCTGACAGGCCCAAATTCAAAAAATGTGCAAGTAGTGATTCTGACAGAATCAGAAAGGGGAGCAGATGAGATGTAACAGCTCCCACACCTGGTGCTTACACACGGCCTTGTACAATAATACAGACACTAAAACGGGGGTACAGATGTTCCTCAGCCAGCCTTCTCAGTGCAGAGCAGGTGGGTGAATTTGAGTTGGCAGAGCTAATAGTTCTAGGCAGGTCACTTTTGTATGAGTTGAGTTCAATACTCAGATCATATGAGAAAAAACAGAATAACACGAGCAATTTAAAGTAAGTCACACTTAAAATGTCAACATTTGCCCCTAACTCTAGAAGCTCAGAGTTCACACAGATAGGCATGTTGATATAAAAAATGCTTCTTGTGTGTATTTATACTTAAAATATACTGTAGTAATAATTAAAATTCTAAGTGGTTTATTTTGATGCAGAAGCCTCATTAAAACTGTAATGTGGGGCCCTGCCAGTAAACTCCAACATGGTTTTGCATATGCCACCCACACCCCTTCTTCTCTATTTTACCTGATAAATTTTGCCAATGTTTTTATTGCCCTTCAGATGCCAGGATCACTGTACCTCTGTGGTTTATAGACACCAGCTCACACAAATTGACATTCCTTTTTCAATTAATGAGCTCTGGTTGTGCTTGACTGAAAACAATGCAACAAATATCCACTAGATTTACAGTAATTTGGCCAGTCATTTGAGACTGTAACGTCTTAAGGATGAACTTTTTCTTGAAAAGGAGCTAATAAGGACTCTAAGGGGATTACAGGATTTTTTTATAATTCACAAAATATAGAGTTTTCTGGAATTTGCTTAGTCATTTTATGTTACTGAGAAATGTTTCTGAAACATACTGTAATATACTCTGTATGAAGAAATATTAGTAATTTGCTACAGTATAATGTGAAGTCCCTTATATAATAATCCATGAGGGGAGGCAGGAAGAATGCTACCTAATCTTCAACTTTTTATAATCTTCATTGCAGAAGGAAATAATATAATTCAATTATCTTTCGTTGATTGGGCTGTATCTATACTTCTAATCTTTGTTTTATACATGAAGTCAGGCTTTCTTTTACACTCCCTTCTTGGATTATTTTCACATTTGTGTCCTAAACTACTCAGACCTTGTATCACCGGCCTTGTTAGAACCACAAACTCAAAAACAAAAAACAAACAAACAAAAAAAACAATAAAAACATAACTGGATAATACATAAAGTACAGAAAATACAAATCTGGCTTACTAAAAAAACTATGAGATCAAAACCAATCACATGTTAAAAGTACTATTTCCCACACCTAATTTTATAAACATAGACCCAGAGCTCAGCAAGGGCCCCAGTGATGTGTGTGGTAGCCTTCATCCCCCCAGAACCAGTTTAAAACTCCTAAAACCTACTGAAGAAACTAATTACTGCTCAGATAACTCTAAGCTAATCCCCATTTGGACAAATAGATAAACTGAAACCCAAAGAAGGGAAGCCATATACTCAGCATCACATAATCACACAGCTTGAGCCAAGCACACACACTAGGACTTTGACTTATAACCAAGAACATGAAATTTTAGTTTTCCTTCAGGAATTTGGTTGACATGATCACAGATTTCTCTCTCACCACCATCTACCTATTACTCTGCTATCTAAGAAATCTATTTGCCCAGGCTGGTGCTGTGGTGCAGCGGGTTAACGCCCTGGCCTGAAGCACCAGAGTAGAAGATGGCCCAAGTCCTTGGGCCCCTGCACCCACATGGGAGACCTGGAAGAGGCTCCTGGCTCCTGGCTTCAGATCAGCACAGCTCCGACCATTGCGGCCATCTGGGGAGTGAACCATTGGATGGAAGACCTCTCTCTGCCTCTCTGCCTCTCCTCTCTCTGTGTAACTCTGACTTTTAAATAAATCAATAAAATAAATCTTTAAAAAAAAAAAAGAAATCTATTTTCCCAAAAGAAAAACACTTCAGAAGACTCTTCTTGATGCCTCCACGAGAGTAACTAACTTTGGGATACTATTAAAAATGCTTTTCAGCCTTGTTGCTGATTTAATCTTCTAACTAGTAGACAATTAACTCAGCTGCTCAGGGCACAATGTGAATAAGCCCAAGGTCAAGGGTTTGATCCCCTTAGGATCTGCCGGCTTCCTACAGATGCACTTCCTTCCAAAGCTTCTGTCTACACCCCTAGCCACAGCCAGACAGCTTGCAAACAAATGTAGCTGTCACAAGCAGAGCGGCAAGAGCCCTCCTCATTAAAGCAGCAGCAGCAGTTTCTCGTAACTTAATATACATAGGGAAGAATATATTAATAAAATGCCCATGAAGCTTAAATAAAAATAAAACCGTTAAAATAAAAACATCTTGCCCCTTACCACAAGGTCTATGGGGGAAAGGAAACAGTTCCTCTTTACCACGCTTCTTGGGTCTTCAGAGCGAGTAGAAGTGTGTGAAACCAAGATGGGGGAGCGAAAGAGAACCTCCATTCTCCTTTATTCCTCGTGCCCTGCAATTCCCCATGCAACAGCTGTCACTTGCTCTCTTCTAATGCTACCTATCTTGGGTCCCAGCAAAGAAAGCAAGGTGTTGAAGGCAGAGATCTGATGACACTTTGTCTCCCTTTCAGTAGTGAATAAGGATAATACTTGACATTCCTAGGCCTTTACCAAAGCCTTTACTTTAACATATACGTTCTCATTTAGCAGGCCCTCAATAAATGATGGTTGAATGAAAATGAGCAAGGAGACCTCTGGACTGAAAGGAAAGTGGAGGGTGAGAAGAATGACAGACGGGTTCCTGTCACTGGGCCCATCTGTGGGAAACCTCACACCCGTGTCATCCTCCCCTTGAAGCAGCAGAATTTACAGGTGCCCTCTGCGGAGGCCCGTCAGGGCAGAACTAAGGAAAGGGGCCTTCAACCCAGGATGAATGCTGGCCTGTTCAGAGACCTCTGTCCCACTTTTTTTTTTTTTTTTTTTTCAAATATGAGGGCATAAACTTACAGAATGAAAAGCCATCACACTTCTCAGCAATGAGGTGTTAACTTCAAAGCTTCACTGGGGCCTTTTAAATGGTAGAAGTTATTGCTTCAACAAATCTCAAATAAAGTCTAAGAACTTTTTTATTAACCCCCTCCTGGCATTCCTTCTACCAGGACATATAATGCACGAGATCTATGCAGGGCTGTTCTCTGCTAACCAGGAGTCTACTGCTTCTTTTCCAAGAGCATTTATTTCCTGTATCACTCTTTCAAGCCCTTACACACTACTTTCCTGAATTATTAGCTGTTTGTTAGTTTGTTCTTTCCAACTATAAAGTCAGCTTTGGATGATAAAGGATTTATTTTCCTCTCATATACCTTTCAGAATCTAGTATACTGTAAGTGCTTAAAATGAAAAAAAAAAAAAACACTACATGGATGTACATAAGGATGGATAAATAGATAAATAACTGAATCTAAAGATTAGGAACTCTGTACAATAGCCAGTACATTTGGACAATTTAAAAGAAACAGATATGAAAAGCATTAAGCAATGTGGACATAAAATCTAAAATGTAGCTCACATATATTCCATACCTATAAAACCTTGTAAAACTCTTTAAAGAGTGTTCAAAGCTGTTTCCAAGCATCATTACATCACTTGACCTCACCCAGCAGATGGACCCCACCAACAGCATCTGCCACTAGTAAACAGATGCAGCACCTGTCCCATCTCAGAGCCAGGACCTGTGTGTAGGTCCACACTGGGGACACTGGACAGAAGAAAGGAAGGGGGCAGAGACTCTCCAGAAATGCCTGGCCTGCTGCAATGTCATCACATTCAGTCCCCTCATGATCCTGCATCAGTGGCTGCAACTAAGGTGATGGTATTGATTTGGAATGAGTAAATAACAGAGGGTAAAATATGCATCCCATCTGAATTCCTACAGTATGGAGAGCCAGTATGTCAGAGTCGTCAAGAATCATGGGGGACCTCGACAGGTGAAGACAGGGAAGCCTGCAAATGTGGTGGTCGCGAGTGGCAGCTCGAGCACCAATGGCACAGGGTTCTGCTCTGCCTCTGCAGCCTGACAGAGCATGCCGGTGCCAAACAGCAGAAGCGCCACTGCGAGCCTCCTGAGATCTGCATTCTACACAACACACAGGAGAGGCAAACTCTTCACTGACGTGCACAAGCTGGCCTCAGAACAAGAATGACTCACCCCTACCTCTCACAGGGCATAACCAAGCAGCTCTGCAAAGAAGGGGTGAAAAATAAGGATGCAGCTGTGAGCCTCTGCCCACATACACACTACTCAGGACCCTCACGGGAGATGTCTGCATGCTCGCCCTGGCACACGTGGCCACCTCTCTCTCTCAGCCGAACCAAGTAAGGAAGCAGTCTTCAAAGCTCACCACTATGCAAGGACTTCCCAGGTGTGCACATTTTTATTATCTTTCCCATACACGCTTTGGACATTTATGGATATAAATCATATTACTCTGCAGGTTTTGAACAATTACCATCGTTTTACATAAGTATTTTCATCTTCCAGCTAAAGAGAAACCAAATTAAGAGTAAGACCCAAATACCCTTCTTTTAGTGCCTACCTATTATGTGTACATAGCATGGTGCTGAGAAAAGCCAGATGATTCAAAAACACACACTCAACAAATAAT